GGCTTCAGTTAAGATTTTGAACCAAATAATGTACAGAATGCTAAAATTCTAGTATCTCATATGAAATGGTTACGATAAGTTCTCAGATTGTTTTGATAATCGGCTTATAAATTGTGAATCTTCTTCTGCCTCATGTTATATTTCATTGAATTGGCTGGTATCTCCCATATCGATATTCACAACTTAATAGCTGTCCTACAGTGAGACTTTAACTCCTTTCAGCTGAATAATTTGTCACCTACAATCTGAATATTTTCCTTGACACTCGTCAAATTGAGACATTTCCACTGTGATGTTGGGATAAATTAATTTCTTACCTTCTGTTAAAATTCCTGTAGCTACATAAAAGAGTGCACCTTGATAAGCCACGGCTTTGTCAAACACCTTTCAAAATTTAAAAGACCAAAACTCATAACAATATGTGAGTTGAAACGTTAAAACAAACGTTTATGTAGAATCAACATCGCTTCACGCATTGTAGGTTATTTAGGTTAGCGGAATGATCACAAGGCAGATTCAAATAAACATGTTAAGGTATTGAACAACAGTTTCACCCGGGCATTTGTCTTTATTCAGACATATCTACTAGAATCCTACAGCTGTATAGATGTCTGGCAGTTTGTCTAATGCGCGAACGATACTTTTCTAGCTCCAGTGACTTATTTTTAATAATGACTGGGATATTACGTCAAACTATCATCTGCATAAGTTTCATGGCTAACCTTCTGACGACAGACATTTTTTAGGAAACAATATCCCTTACTTTGCATCACATAACACCATAATTTAGTATTGACATTTTCCTCTATTTTATAATGATGCTGTTAAGTAAGACCGGTTCGTCACTAAAATCATGGTAGTTGAAGGATTTGGTCATCATTTTGGAATATATTTTCTATGTTACTGTAGAATAAACACTATCCGATAAAAATTACTTCATCACCATATGTTTGGTCAAAAAAGTAATTCAGCATGAAACTTATTATTATAAACGGCCGGCTGAACGTGAAAAACATTCTTACCCAATAATCAACCTCAAGAATGTCACAACAGAGGACTTAGGTGAGATAAACAGTCTGCATCATTCCGTATTTCATGGGGAGCACACTCGGGTACAAATGGCGACATTCAACACGTACAATATAACCACCACCATGATGAATGGTGGTCGTATGCAGTGTTGTATCATCGGAATTGACACAAACGTCACACAGTTATCCTGAACATAATACAACTATGTACGTTGCATACTGTAGTACATTCAACAAGCTGTCTTTGATCTTATTTAGATGAAGTTACTGATTTAATGTCGGCATAATTCCATATTACATTAGCCTCTTTCAGATAACACACGGAAATAAAGTAGTATTTACTAGATAAAGTCTCGATCCCAAATAAATACTAGCGATTCCACCATATTTTTGATGCAATAATGAGTATTAAATTTCGCTTGAAAGATCATCTAGTGAATAAAACTATCTCTCTTTGTGCTATTGAAAAAAGAAGAATGTGATATGGAAAACTACTATCGAAAAATATCCTCAGGACTTTGTTTGAAGAACTCAGATACTTTATTTTTCTGATATCAAGATTGCTTGCTTCAAATAAACGACCTGAAGTTAGAGTTAAAACGTACCCGAACAAAGTGAATGACATGCATAAACACAAGAACAAATTAGACACAGCATTATGATTACAGTGGGCCCCTGAGAAGATCAGCTACATTGCAGGTGTCAAAAGAAGGCAGGAAAAATCGACTAACCAAAGATTTTATGCACCCAAGCTCATAATACTAGGTGGAATAATGAGTCATGATAATTGATATCTCTCATATCGTGGCACACAGGACAGGGATTTTGACAAAATGTTGAACGCAGGACTATTGGAATATGGAAATGAGGAAAGCGCAACCCGAGAATGACTGTGCCACATGCTAGCGCGAACAAATTCATTGCATTCCGAATCTTTTCAGGTCTGTGACAATACTTTCAAGATGATTTTCAGGTGTAGTAATTATTAAAATTTGTGTATCAATCACCATTGAAACGTCGGGTCCATTATAGTGTCTGACCCGGGTTCTTGTGACATTTTGCTTATACCTGGCGTTATGCGACAGGATATATTCTTCGATGGGCCTATATCTGGCCTCATTGGCTCAACATTTGGGCTCATACGTACTACATCTTGCCCCATATAGGATTCATGGATGAATGCTCGGTTCAAATTTACTATACTTGGACCGTCGAAAACTTTGCTTAGGGAGTTATGGTTTAATTGCACTAACTGCTCAATACTCGTCAGACTCTCCAATCATTATATATAACATAGAATCACTTCTAACGAGGTAGTTTGGGCCTTCGACGAGCTTAGAAAATGACACTCAGCAGCAACATGGACATCAGGGTTGACAGTGAGTTTAATGCTTCGTATTATGAGCCGCATCAAGGGCGGTCACGTTTCTCTTTTTAAAAATGAACTGAACTAAGCCTGCTAACCTACGTATGTCCCAGGATGAAAAATCCCAATTCACTTCCATATAAATGCTCATCATTCGCACAGTGCATTCGAAAGAGGTTTTGTAAAGACCTCACCTTTTTCCAAAGGCGATTGCGCCACACAACACATGACCTAATGCATGGAAACAATCCCTGTTACAAGTTGATGCTATTTTTCTAAGACAAATAATAACAGGGTCATTTAAATAGCAGTTATACATGGTATTACCTGCTTCATCTTCCGAAGAATTTAAAACGATCATCGTCATTATGTACTGTTATGAAGCCATCAGACTGGATAGATGAAAATATATCTTCTGTAACAGCGAATATATAGTGGGCAGAGACTTATGAAGTGCTGCTTTCAATCGCTGCTTGTCAGCTAGAGAGGTCCTCATCTAGTTTAGAGTCGCCCTCAGTTTTGTCGGAAGTTCACTAAGCTCCTCTGTACCTTTATATAAAAATGTTGCATACGGTTAACAATACAAGGTGAGTGAATCCACTGACATCATAACCGGTTGTGTTTTCTTCATTACATTTCCTGGTTTTGAAATCATTGAAGTCATTGCCTCAAAGCCATCCAACATGTTTTTGGCTCGGCTGAATTGAAGTGAGAGACAGACTCCACAAACCACACCCAAGACAGAAGGGTGCTTTTGCCAACAGGTAACCTGTTGCAAAATTCTCCCAAAATCTGAAGTGATAGTAAGGGGGCCTTCAATTGCTTGTTGAAATGTCAACGCAGTTTCTCTGTTTCACAGCTTATGGCAGTGACCGCTGAATTCATCTTATTCATAAATAACATGAGTTTAATGCGTTCTCATACAACACTGTTTTAGTTTTAACGTGTACACCTGACGCACAACCAACTAAGGTTAAACCAACATTTGTGACACATGAAGACCCATCAACCTCCTAAGAAAAACTAACATAATCTGAGGCGTCCAAGAAACTTGTCACAAGTTCATTCTCTTCTTTCCCTTTGACATTGACAGCGAAAGGATGGATGACGTTCACGTACTATATGCGATCATCTTTTTGTGAACTTCTTAATACAAGCTAATAGCCTTACCGGGAACGGGAACCTAGACCTCCTAAAATTCGTAGCAATAAATTCGCTTGCACTTAGATTCTGTGATATACACACGTAGGAAATCGAAGCTAATTGACAGATAAATAATAACATTGCATAAGAAGTTTGCTTCTCAGCAACATTTGAATGCACTTATAAAATAAATAATTACGTAGTAGAGAAATATTTGTTTTAGTTATATTACGAACGAATGCTGATATATGGAAGCATTTAGACGTGGTGTGGCAGACTGCATCTAAGCAACTCACTGGATATGAGCGAAGTCATTCAACCCATAAATGGTAGGTAGCAGCTGACAATTGAGACTAAACAAACAGGCTCGTGTTTGGCATCGTACTAGGACAAAACGCCGCGTGAAAGTCGGATATACCGACTAGTCGTAAGCCTACTCGTTGCTATCCAATGCAGAAATTCGGGTTAACATCGTAATGAGCAGTTCAAAAAAGGAACAGATGTGAAGTTTTGACAAAAGATAAGAAGGCCAAATCAGTTAAAATGAACATGGCATTTTGAGGTTTTGCAGTTTTGCAACAAACTGAAAACAAATGACCGGCCTTGAATCTGTGAACTCAGGCATTGTATCCAAATGTAAATGCAATATGCATGACAACCTTTCGTGCTGGATCACATTCAACAATGCCGAACCCCTGAAAGCATCACTGAAAGCCGTCTTTTCTGACGTGACTTGAAAGACTTGTATGCAGAGATTATAAACCAAAACAGCAAGTCCAGGAGGATGAAACAAAGCAAAGCTAACTCTCCTTCAGAATGCTTGCAACGTCATTAAAATATTTAGTTAGTTGAGCTCAGAAAAGATTATTTTCTTGCGGTAAATTTTGATAGTATTTTTGATGGACTATGAAATTTACAAGAAGTTGAGTCCTTTGCAAGCACACCAACTCCAGGTTTTCGTTCGGCTAAATACAGCAAAGACAAACCCACTGTCTGACCATGAAGTGCACAAAGGGCGACACATTGTCCACAGGCGGTAAAATGTCGAGCCAACGGCGCCGAATGTAGGGGAACCACGAGGATTCAGAACGCGCACTGGACCAATTGCTAAAACTTGTTGCCAGATAAAGACGAGATGTCATTAGGCCTCAGGTCAAGCCCTATGTTTGGTTCAACAATCTCTAAGTCTTTGGCTTAGAACCGCGTTATACACTCCAAAAAACGTTCCACCTGACAAAATTGAGGCTTACTTAATCCCCGGAAGGCACATTTAATCCAACTACGCATAGCAATCTGAACAACTATTAGACTGAGGGCAGACAAGCTGAATACTATGATCACTTGTTTCTTTATTTGTCTGAAAACTAGCCTCATCAAGTTTATGGACAGACTATGGAACAAGTCGTTCTCCATATCTCTTAAGTTTGCAGTTTTTTGATAGCAAAAATTTTAAAACTCACCAAAATTAGCTTTGTTACCTTGAAAATAAAACATATTCCTCATAAAACGTGTACATCAGAGGGTTATACTCGATAAGTCAGTATTAGTTCCATTTGTGCGGACTTTGGTATCGTAAACCGTTCACAGATTTAAACAACCACTTCAACTTGTGACGATACCTCAGAGGCGATTGTCATAGGTCTCAAAAGATCAAGAATGCAATGGATTTATCTCTTCTTTCTTTGGTTTGAACGTGATCTACGATTGTACTCGGATTGTGCCTCCCTCATTGCGCATGTACTTCAAAAAAGAGCAGTGGCGTTTTAAAAATTCATTGTATTTACTGTGTTGAGGTCCAGAACTCCTTGAGCAAGCATTTTTCTACTCTTTAGTCAGCCTAGTGACAGTTTCAAAGAATGTCTGCTTTGTTTGTCACAGAAATGTCAGCTGCTCAGCTGTGCTCTCAATGGACTCACTGCTCCCATGAGCCAGCCAGCCACCTGCTTATTTTGAAGCACTGCTTAATAGCCCTCTTGATGGAGATTGGTATTTCTGTCGACGCTCTAGGTCCAAAAGTAAATACCAAATAGGTCTAGAGCTAGTGAGACAGAACTCCAACCACCTTACAGTTGAGATCTCTGCACAAACCAGCCTCAATCAAAAGAAGTCTCATGACCATAAAAAGACCCCCAAGTTAGCGGTAAGGGAAGCCGCAAAATCATAGGTTGTTCTCCGGTAATAACCGACTCCACTATCTCTTGCTTAAATGGAGGTAGGAAGGAAATCATCACTGTCATTAAATGCCTCCCCCGTTAACATGCCTTTGGAACAGATCGCCTCAATGATGAGCCTGAATCTCACACTCCATAAGTGTCGAAAGAAAGATCTGAGGAAGTGTAGGCTGGTCAGGTCGGTTAAAAATGGAACATTAGGTAACGGTTGTAAGACTGACAAAGTAACGACTACTCGACCTAATGGAAAGCCGAACCACAAGTTGATCATTGCCCTCTTGCTCAGGTGAAAAACGCTCTGAAAAAAGTAGATCCTAGTTCCACCACCTGTAACTTATGGCGGAAGCCACTTGCATCTCACCACCAACCTCGATCGATCTTCAAGATAACTCCCACAGCCGGCAGCTCAGGTCTTCTGAGTCGCCCCCAAAATGCTAACCAGAAATCTGAGTCTGCATTCACAGGGAGAAATAAGCCCCGAAAGACAGACCATAACCTTAGCCTTAGGTCGCTTATACTCTTCAACGTTCAGGAAAGTCACTCCTCCCTATTAACTGGTCGTGAAGAGCATGATTTCGGCCAGTGGAAGAGTGTTTGCAAACTTTAGGAACCTCGCACTGCAGTTCATCTCTTCAACGCCTAGCGCATAGTAATTTCTCTCCCAAAGGCTCTCCCAGGCCTTGGAGAATGTCTCACGATAGTGCACGTCAGTCCGAACACATTCTCTTGATAGGTCATCAGCTGGCGAAACATAGACTGTCTGGCGCCAGGATCAGGCCCGAAAGACCCCAGTCAGTGCGAGTACCTCTTCGCAACAGCAAGACAATCCCCTCTCTAGAACTATGCTACTTAGTAATCATACACGGGGTTTCCGAATGTTCGAATACCGATACTGTCGAACTTATCCGTGACATAAATCAGTGGAGATATATTGTCAGCGAGCTCAGAATCGATGTGAGGGCCGGAAGAATTTATCGTGTTCCGAAGCCGGCTCACCTTTAGACCATATGTACTCCCAGGCTACTCCAAGTAACCCTTGACTCTCCGGACATGACAGGACCTACCTTGAGATGCTGGCATAATGTATCTGGCACATTCCCTAAAGAAATAAAGATAGGTGAGTGCAGACCCACGGAACAAAGGCGGACTGAGAGGCGATTCAAGTGCTTGCTGTTGGCCAGCCTATATCTAACAGCAGAACGGTTGGACGATGAGCAAGGGTTTTATCGACCTTGCCCCAGGTCAAAGAACCCTGCACTAGTTCTCGGAAAAACAGATCGGTGGATCTAGTAGCCCTGTTTCCGCCACCTTAACACGAAACTTATCGAAGCCGGCAATCTAAAGGCTGACAACACACCCTCAACTCAACCCATTCCGAGACCTCCGTCCACAGTACTCTCATTCTCCGTTCCTATGGTAATATACGTGGCTTTCGCTCCAAGATGCCTGAGTTAAAGTTATTAGCTGATGAGGATAGCCCAACATAATGGCTTTCTGTGAAGCATGGCTCACAGACAACACAAAAACGAGGAAGTTCGTTTAGGACAGCTCAGCCCAATCCGAAAGAATAAACCAGAAAGCCCAGGAGGTGGTGTCCCTCTTAACACCTGCCTTTCCCTAAAAGCCCGTGAGATTCAATCCCACAGAACTGGCACCAGAGATGTCCTCTGGCGTAGTTTTGAGTGCTGTAGAGGTCCGTGTTTATTTGGAGTTTTATACCGCCATCCTGCGGTAGATGCCACGTTAAATAAAATGTTAATACAATCCATTAGAGAAGCTCCGGAACTGAACTTCCCACAGGTCCTCAACATGTGAGATTTTAACTTCCCTCAACTCTTTACCACATAAAGTCCATCTACTGCTCCAAAAGACTTTCGGGAATCATTACTGGAAGACTTCTTGACCGAACACGTCTCCCAGTGTACTGGCTGGGGTTTGACGGTGGGGTATACCCGACCAGATTGTATTTTCGCAAATCACTTCATTGAGGTAACCAACTTGACGGTTTTAGCCCTCATGGTTTCAGTGACCATGCAGTTACATCCTTAAATATTTCTATATCCAAGCCACCCGCTCCCGATCATCCAGTAGTCAGGAATTACAGGAGGACTGATTTTGAGAAGGTCCGGCAAGATTTAGAAGGTTCCGCTTGCCTAACCTGCGATGACCTACTGGATCTGGATGCCAGATGAAATCCGTTGGAGAGCACAATCCTCCAGACGATAAACAACGACACTGCTGTCACTCTAAGAAGAACCAACAAATTCCACCGCTTCCGGCTTCAGTTAAGCGCGCGCAAACTAACACGGCGTAAACGGTCGTCCTGGAATCTATGGAGGTGCACTAATAGCCCTACTAACCGGCCTAATTATAAAGATATCCGTAACAGATATACAGCAAGAATCAGAAATGACAGTATAAACCACCAGACACAACTCCGCAGAACCCTGGAGGGGAATCATGCGATACTGTACACGCTGATGGGACAAAAGAGTAACAGTTCACTTGGTTTATAGGACCTCATTAGTTAGAAGATTCTGCATTCGAACTCCGAAGAAGCAAACCCACCAGCTCATGAATTTCGAAACAACCTTTGTCATTCAGGAGGTAAAACCACGCATCTGTCGGATACCCCTATACGGAGGGGCCAAACTATATGGAGTTTGAACCCTCTATAAATATGGAAACATTAAACAAGCTGAGCCCGAATAAGTCCCCAGGAATTGATGGGATTCATCCAAGAGTACTCAAAGAGTGTGCTCACGTTCTGTGTGCCCCACCAGCAAACCTCTTTGAATGCTCTTTTCTGGAAGGCAGGTTACCCTCCGATTGAAAATGGGCGGCTGTCATCCCAATTTATACAGGTGGAAACAAACCACTTGCCTCCCACCACAGACCTATCTCCCTGATCTCTTCAGTTGCAAAGGTCACGGAGAGGGTCATAAATGGCTCATTTCTTGATCACTTACTCAAGGAGTCAAAGTAAGACTACTGCCAACATGGCTTTCTACCAGGAAGGTCATGCCACACCAACTCGTCAACAGCTTGGAATGGCCAAACACTCTCTGCCGGGCAGAAAAAGCCCATTCACATCGGTTTACTTGACTTTTCTAAAACCTTTGATACAGTGAATCACGATATCCTCTGTAAGAAACTTCAATCCATGGGTGTGCACGGAAAATTATTAATTTTGCTCTGAGATTATCTATACACAAGGTTGCGGTCGGTTACAGTCGACTCCTCTCTATCTAATTGGTTCCCGATGCTGAGCGGTGTGCCCCAAGGTCCTATTCTGGGCCCACCAATGTTTCTCGCACCCATGAATAACCTACCAGGAGTCCTTAATTCACATTCACTACTATGTGCCAATGGTCTGAAGACTTGGAGGAAAATACAGGAGCCAAAAGATATTTAAGTCTTCCGGGTGGACCCTGGGAAGACCCTAATTGAGGTACAGAAGGTCTGCTTCCTCTCGACTAGAAGAAGAGCCGAACAACGATGGTCGACAGACACAAAGGCAGTCCCAGTTCTTATTCTCTGGGTGAAATAAGTATCTGCCACTCTAGCATGGAACAGTATCTGGGAGTTACACCAAACGATACTCTAGAAGTCTCAGTCCACCATCGCCTTTAGCCAACAAGGCTTATAATAATAGTAGACAAACAATGAATACTTTATTCTCAAATTAGCAGTTTAACATGAGAGAAGCCAGCTTATGGGCATCATCAAATTGATAACGGTAAAGAAACCCCCAATAGTTGAGCTGTCTTGAATGATACAGAAGGCACTGCATCAGGGTTTATCATGATATCAAAAGTTACTGCAGGTTATAATAATAAATAATAAATGTTAGTTATTTAACATGAGAGAAGCAAGTTTGCATGTATCATCACACTGATATATGTTGGAAAATGTACAAGATTTTGCAGGGTCTAAATGGTACGGAACGGAGGTCATTAAATTAGAATAAAAATATCAGGAGATTACACAAGTCATGGGATGAACAAGAAAATACAACTTTTCAGCATATACAGAGTGTTAAAGTTTGAATCATTTTCAGTTATACTTTCCTTTTTCACCGTTAGTGGCACCAAGGTTGCGCGAAATCCTAAATTCCCGTTACAAGCAGTCGACTTGTCTGATTCGTCATCGCGATGCCCCGTTACGCCATATAAACGTCTATTTTACCTTAAATTCCTATGTTTATAGCTGCGGGTATCAAGAGAACCCACATTGACGATGTTGAGAACCTGTAAGTTTCCACATAACCACTTAATCCAAGTGAATATCCATTCAATAGAGATTTACGCCATCAGAACTAGATATTGTGGTGTAAAGGAATAAACATTTGAAGAATCTGCAGACCAGTGGCACTGAGTTTTCCACACTGTTCACGTTAAGGTATGCA